CGCGCAAGCAGAGGAACAAAGAAGGGAGCGCCCCCACACGGAGCCGCACAACCGCACGGAGAGGACAAGAAGAAGCCAAAAGGGGCGCCACGAGGGAGGCAGCGGGGGGAAGGCAGAGGGGGAGAGAGAAAAGGCGGGGAAGGGGGGCAAAGAAAGAAAAGAAGGGCCAGAAAGCGCAAAGGGGGAACAAGGGAAAGAAAGCAGAGGACAAACCGGGAGGGGGCGAGGGAGGCGCAAAAGCAAAGAAGGGCCGGAAGCACACGGGAAGCAGGCAGGGGCGAAGGAGCGGGAAAGAGAAGCAAGGCAAGGGCGAGAGAAACAAAAGGAGGGAAGAAAGCACACAAGAGAAAGAAAGAAGACCGAAGGGGCAGGCAAGGGCGCAAAACACGCACAGGGGGAGGGCGGACGGAAGAGAGCCACGACAGAGCAAACAAGAAAGGCGAACAAACGAAGCACAAGGGGCCAAACGAGGGAGGCAAGCAGGAGGAAAGGAAAGAAGGGGGGGCAAAAGAAGACGGAGGGGCAGAAAGACGAGGAAAAGAGGGGGAAAGGGGAAAAGGGGGACAGAAGCAAACAAAGAAGAAAACGAAAGCCCGCCCCACACGGAGGAGCAACAGGGGCCCCAAGGGGGAACAAAAAAAGCACAGAAAAAAAGGGGGAGGGAAGGAGAAGGGGAAGAAAAGAAAAAGAAGGGAACAAACACACCGGAGGGGCCGCCCAAGCAGCGCCGGGGGAGCGGCGGGGGCGCGACGGAGGAGAGGGCGGGAAAGGGCCAGCGGCGGGGAGGACCGGCGAGGAGGAGGAGGAGGCAAAGAAACAGGCCCGGCAGGCAGAGGAGGACGCAAAGAGGAGGGAGGAGGGGGGCGGGGGCAGGAGAAGCAAGGGCAGCAAAGGGAACAAAGGGCAAAGAAGCAACAAAAAGGGCAAAAGGAGCAGCACGAGGAGAGGGCAGGGGAGCAGAAAGAGGAAAAGGCACAAGGGGACCAGGAGACGCCAGAGGAAGCAGACCACGAGGAAGAGCAAGGGGGGGGGCAGGGGGAAGAAGGGCCGGCCGAAAAAAGAGGGAGGAGGGGCCAGAGCAAGCACAGAAAAAGCAGCAGGAAAAACCAAGGAGGAACGGCAACAAGCAAAGCCGCAACACCCCGAGGAGAGGGAGGAGAGCCAGCAGCCAAGGGAAGGAGGAGACGAGAGGGAGGCAGGGGGCCAAGAGGGAAAGAAGCAGAAACAGAAGAGGGCAGGACAGGAAGAGAAGCGCCGAAAGCGAACAGAGCAGGGGCAAAGGGCACCCACGGAGCAGGCAGGGAAGAGGAAACAGACCGGGGCGGGGCACGGGGCAGGAAGAGGGCGGGGACGAGCCAGAGAGACAGGCGCGGGCACGGGCACGGCCGCAAGGCGGGCAGGAGGCGGGGGGAGGGGGGACCGCGGGAGAAAAGGGGCAGAGCGAGGGACGGGGGCCAGAGAAGCGAAAAGGGGGGAGGAGCGCACAGGCACGAAAGGGCGCAGACAGAGCAGGAGGGGAGGGGCCGCGGAGGGGGGCGAAAAGAGCGGGAGGAAAGGGGGGGACGGGGCAGAAGCAGAAAAAGAAGAAAGCGGACCGGGGGACGGCGCGGGAGGGGGCAAGGAGGCCGGCACGGAGGGCCGGAGGCAAAGCAACAGGCGGGGCCAGCGACAGACGGGCACAGGAAGGCACGGACAGGCGCGGGGGAGGAACAACGGGGGAGAGGGGAGGGGGCCAGAACGCGGGGCGGCCAACCGACGAACCGGAGGGCGAGGGGCCAGGGGGCGGCCAAGGGGGAAGACGAGCGGGGGCGGGAAGACGAGCCGGGGGGCGGGGGAAGAGGGGGGGCGGGGGAAACGGCAAAGGGGGAGGAGCAAGAGAGGGAACAAGAGCGGCGAGAGGCAGACCGGAGCGAGAGCGGGGGGCGGGGGGGGCGGGAAGGAAAGGGGGGCGAGACGGGGGAAAGGGGAACGAGGCGGAACAAACGGGGGCCCGGGGGAGGGCCAGAGCGAAGGGGGGGGGAGCCCGCCAGCCAGGAGGAGAGGGAGGAGAAAAGGGAGCAGACGGACCGGAGGGGGGCCAGGAAAACCGCCAGCCAGGGGGACGGGGGCAAGAGGCGCGGGAAGAGGGGGCAGGCAGCAGGGGGGGGCCCAACGACGAGCAAAGGCCACAGGCGGGGACAGGGGGCAGAGGGCCGACGGCGAAGGGACGAACAAGAGGAGGGAAACCAGAAAGGGGGGGGCAAGAGCAGAAAGAGGGACCGCAGGCACGGGCGGAGACGGGGGGGACGAGGCGAGGGCCAAACGGGGGAAGGGGCAGCCAGGGGGGCAAGGAGAGGGCGGGCAGCGGCGGGGGGCGGGGCAACGAAAGCACCCCGGGCGGCAGCAAGCAGGCGGCGAGCCAGGGGAAAAAGGCCGGCAGAAAAGGACGGAAGGAGGAAGGGAGCACGGAGGGGAGGGGGGGGGCAGCGGGCACAGAACGGGAAACGCGCCCAAGAGGCAGACAAGGACGCGCCAGGGGGGGCCGGAGACCACAGAGGGCCGGGCGAAGGGGGGCCGCCCGGGAAGCGGGGAAAGAGGGGGCAAGGAAACAGGGGCGGAAGGGAGGCCAGGGGGGGAGGCGCCAGAAGGGAGAGAAGAGAGCCAAGCCGGCGCGGAAGCGGGCAAAGAAAAGGGGAAGGCGCGCAACGGGAGGGGGCGGCAGGAACCCCGGGGGGGGGCAGACGGGAACACACCACAGGGAAGGCCGGGAAGGGGGGGGGAGGAGCGGCACCGGCAAGGCAGGAAAAGAAGGCAAAAGAGGAAGGAAGCCAGAGGGCAGGCGAAGGGGACAGGAGCAGCCAGAGCAGGGAAAGGGAGGCAGAAAGGGGGGGAGCAAAGGGGGAGCGCCAAGCGCGGGGAAAGGCCGAGGGGAGCCAGGGGGGCCGCGGCGAAAGCAGAAGGGGAGAAGCGGGAGCCAGAGCACGAAACGCCAAGGGGCGCAAAGCGGGGGCGCCACCGGCGGAGAGGGCGGGCAAGGGCGGGAGGGAGGCAAGAGGGGGGAGCAGAGCGAGGGAGAGGCAGAAACAAAAAGAAA